ACATAGAATCTGTTGGGGCGTTCCTTACGTGCGATGCGCTATGCCGGGCTCCGGATATAGTGTTAAATAGGCAAGGGGGGTCTTTGCACATTCATGGACGTGTGCGGGAGGAAAAATGAGCCCATGCGCCATGTCGGGCCCCAGATATGGTGAAAAATATGCAAGGGGGGTCCTTGCACATTCATGGACGTGTGCAAGGGGTAGAGCTAGCCTATGATAGGAAAATTCGTTTAAGTAGTTGGAATGTAGGTTTTTTAACTGGTAGATCTATAGAGTTAGTAGATGTTATGGTAAGAAGAAGAATTAACATTTTATACTTACAGGAAACGAAGTGGACATGAGAGAAAGCAAAGGAGATTGGAAATTTAGGACACAAGGTATGGTATACAAGTTGGGAAAGGAATCGCAATGGAGTTGGTATTCTAGTGGACAAAACTGTGAAGGATGACGTAGTTGAGATTAAGCGAATAGGGGATAGAATTATTATGCTCAAATTGGTACTAGGAAATAAGTTAATCTATGTAATTAGTGCTTACGCTCCACAAATAGGATTGGATGCGGAAACTAAAGTCAAGTTCTGGGAAGACATGGATGACTTAGTGTGTTGTATAGGCAATGATGATAGCATTTTCATCGGAGGCGATTTCAATGGGCATGTTGGTAAGGATAGGAAAAACTTCGAAAGGATCCACGGTGGTTTTGGTTTTGGAGCTCAAAGCGAAGAAGGAAAATCTATTTTGGAATTTGCGTTAGGACATGATTTTATCATAACGAACACATTTTTCAAGAAAAGAGATTCTCACTTGATCCTTTTTAAGAATGGGAGGAACTTGAGCCAGATAGATTATTTTCTCACAAGGTATAGAGAACGTTCTCTATGTAAGAATTGTAAAGTAATTCCTAGAGAAGTACTAGCCACCCAACATATGTTAGTGATCTTAGATGTGAGCATTAAGCTTTGCTATAGAAGGATTAAGATAAATCACCTTCCACGAACTCGTTAGTGGCATTTGAAGGGAATAAAGCAATTGACCTTTAAAGAGAAGTTGTTAGATGAGGCTACTTGGTCATATATAGGTGATGCAAATACTATGTGGGATGCCATGACCAGCTGCACTAGAAAAGTGGCAAAGGAGGTACGAGGGGAATCTACAGGTAAAGGCCCCCCAGGGAAAGAACCTGGTGGTGGAGTGGGGAAGTTCAAAAGGCTATTAGGACCAAGAGGGATTTCTATAGAGATTCACCAAAGCGTAAGGATGTTGAAACTTTTAAATAAGTACAAAAAAGCGAAGAAAGAAGCTAATTCTACTTACTTAGATGAGGTATATAGGAAATATGGGACTAGAGAAGGGAAAATGATATATATAAACTAGCTAGGATAAGAGAAAGAAAGTGTCGGGACCTAAGTTAAGTGAAGTGTGTTAAGGATGATATGGATTAGGTTCTGACAAAGGATAAAGACATTATGGAAAGGTGGAGGAGTTACTTTGAGATGGTTTATAATGATGATCATGCGATAGAGTTTGACGATCTTAGGTCACAAGGAGAACCTAATATGATGTATACAAGAGGAATCAGAGTCTCGGAAGTTAAAACTGCACTACGGAAAATGAAAAATGGGAAGGCATGTGGGCCATATGATATTCCAATAGAGGTTTGGATGGCGTTAGGAGATGTTGAAATTGTGTGGCTCATTAAGCTTTTTAAGGAGATACTAAAGAAGAAGTATATGCCTGATGCATGGAGAAAAAATATTCTTGTCCCCATCTTCAAGAA